AAAACAGATGTCACACGTGGGTAGACCCACCACAAGGTTATATGAAGAGGCACAATGTAAAGTCATATGAAAATTATCAGAGATTTATCTACAAAACCCCTCACAGGGCTGTCACCGTGGGCCCTCCCCACAAACACAGGCTCCCCCCCAGTGCACACGGCTCCCCACCAGGCCCTGAGGCGGCTGCTGGCGGCTGTGGCCGCGGCCTGGCAGGAGTCTCAGCCGGGCACTGCTGGGCAGCTCGCGAGGAGCGAAGCTCTGAGGCCTGGGAACTGATCCAGTATTTCTCAGGGTGCTTCTTCCAGCACCGCTTCTGAGAGCAGCCAGGCACGGGCCTCCCAGACACGCGGTCCCCTCCCTGCCCCAGACTCGCTCCCCGAGCCTTCCCCGTGGTCACAGGGCTGTTCATGCCGGGCCGGCCCCAGCACCTGTGCGACCCTGGGGCCGGCTCCCCAGAGCCAGGGGCTGTCAGACCGCAGGGCAGACGCGCCCCCACGGCCGCTCTCCGTTTCCTTTCGCAGGGATGTGCAATGACTGGCTGAGGCAGGTGGATTTTGACCCTGCACAGACGGATTTCGGCGTCGGGGCCGAGGGTCGGGTGACCTGTCGTCAGCAGTTCCAGCAGAACTCGTTCAATGTGACGTGCAGAGAGACGGAGTCGGGACGCTTCGAGTGGGATTTGGGTGCACACACGTGTGTCAGTGAGTGTGGGGAGCCGGCCCTGGGGCTGGCCGGGCGCCGTCTGGCCAGGGAGGGCTCCAGCCAGGCTGCTGAGAGGCCGTGGGGAGAGTCCTGCTGCAGTGAGCAGCTTCCCACCCACGGTGTCCCCGGGGGGGGGGGGGGGCGAGACACATGGATCTGATCCCGGCCCCTGACCCTGCTCCCCGTGCAGGAGCAGCAGAAACCAGGAACACCGTTCTCCCCACGGCCCAGTGGGGCTGACTGGTCTGCACTCGCCCTCCCCACGGCGGCCCTGAGCGTGTGAACGGAGTAAATGTACCTGAGCACGTGGGGCCTGATCCTGAGAGGGACTGATCCTTGCAGCCCCCCTGCCCCCTGCTCTTGTGGGTGCCCAGCATGGTTCAGACTCAGCCCATAATACTCAGTGGAGTCTGCCTGGTTCCAGTGACCCCCAATACTCTGCTCTCCTTTACCCACAGGAAAATGTAAAATACCCAAAACCTGGGACCCCAGATTGCAGTTTGCCCCCAAGGGGCCTTTCTACTCCCTGGGTGAATCGGTGACGCTGAACTGCTCTGAGGGGTATCGGCCGTCACCGCCTGTGATCGAATGTGTCAGAAATGGGAACCAGCCTGTCTGGAATGAGACAGCCACCTGCCGGGGTAAGTGTGGGACCCCCCGAGTCACCGCGGGCACAGGGGCCGGGCCGGCAGCCAGACTCCGTGACACTTTGGTATCTCCGGAGCCAGGTGGATTCTCACCCCGGAAGCTCTCTGGTTTGTTTTGGCCTCTTAGCCTCTCATATGGGGGCCTAAACCCTGCTGGAATTACAGGGGCCCTGAGCCAGACCCCAACTCCCCACCCCCACAGGCCCTGGGCCCAGGGGCCAATAAGGAACGGCAGGACCAGCCCAGAGTCTCCCTGTCACCAGCGTGTCCGTGTTCCTCGCCTTTCCCCAGCCCTTTGCTGTGCTGGTTTCTCCCGCACTCCCTTTGGCTCATCTCTGCCCCAGGATCACCCGGGGGCGGCCAGCGGCACCTTTCGCCAGAACAGGATTTGCAGAGACTGGACATTTCTTTCCCTCCAGGGATTTGTACGAGGGCAGGAAACTGGCCCCCGTCGGTCTCTGCTGCCTCCACACAGACAGAGTTTGCCGTTGGCGAGTGGGTTCAGGTGACCTGTCGCCCGGAGCAGTACGAGGGGCGCCCGGCTTGGATGCAGTGTACGGAGACGGCTGGGCACGTGGAGTGGGACACGAGCCGTGTGAGCTGTGTGGGTGAGTTCTGCACAGACGGGCGGCCGGACGGGCTGGGGGCAGGATCCAAACCCTGGGACACCGAGAGCCTCCAAGGGGCCCCACGACTTCCTGGGGGCGTCTTTATGTCTTGAGTGTTCAGCTCGGACCTTCTGAAGGGCGTGAAGTGACAGCGACAGCGAGTGTGTGGGGAAAGCAGCCTGCGTGGGGGGGAGTGTGGTGAGGTTCTAGGCTGTGGTGGAGGCGTGTGTGTGTGTGTGTGTGTGCGTGTGTGTGTGTGCGCGCACATCAAGGCAAACCAAACCAGCCAACAAACAGAGAAAACTTTGGTCTCACCCCACTGGCTAATCAGAAGTCACACAAGCAATTCCCTTAGACACTCCAGTTTCCCAGTATCACCACCAGTGCCACTCGTTATGGGGACAAATGGTTATGAAAACCAATACCCCAGTAAAAGAAAAAAGGTTCTCCCGATCCCAAAGGACCAAGCCCCAGACCCAGGTCAATATACAAATCAGATCTTACCCACAAATCACGCTGTTGCCAATCCTTTAGAATCTAAAATCTAAAGGTTTATGCATAAAAGGAAAAAGATAGAGATGAGAGTTAGAATTGGTTAAATGGAATCAATTACATACAGTAGTTGCAAAGTTCATGGCTCAGGGAGGCTGCGGCTTCAGACCCAGCCAGCGAGAGAGAGCAGGTGGCCATCCCTGTCCCAGCTGCTGAGTTCCAGGCCGAGTTGCAGAAAGATCCCTCCTTGCAGAAGATAAGGGACCTGGCTGACCCCATGTGACAATGCGGTTCTGGCGGAACCCAACTGAGAGTGCCAACTCAGGACAAATTGCTCAAATAGGGCAGTTACAGCCCAAGGCTGGGGTTTTTTCCACCTCTAAGGCAAACCAAACCAGCCAGACTAGGAGGCCTTGGGTCTCACCCCACTGGCTAACCGCAAGTCTCACAAGCAATCTCCTTAGACACTCCAGTTTCCCAGTATTCCCACCAGTGCCACCCGTTATGGGGACAAA